CAGACAACCCCGTAACAATATGCGTTTTGTACTGCTGTTACACAGCACAAAACGCATAAAAATAGAAAAGGATTAAAATTTTTAAATTTAAAAGAAAACGTTTATAAACTGGCAAGAAATGCTTCAGTCCATTAAGATGTATACATTTTTTACCGTTACCACAATTGGATCTCGCCAGTACGACGGTTGTGGTAACAAAATTAATTAAGGTAATCACAATTAAAAGGAGTTTAATAATGATGTATGTAATGGAAAAGATTAAGATACTAAGGAGGGAAGATATTAAAAACTTAAGACACTAAAACAGTAAAAACCTTTTCTTGAGCTTTTTGCCCTCTTCTCGTGAAGCAGGAAGAATCATCGCCAAGTATGGCCCATCAACCTCAAAAAATATCGAGTTCTCGGATGTTACTGAATATGTGCCGTCTGGTTGAAGTTCGTGATACTGGTCATTTGTAAATTTATCACAAACAAGCGCATTCAGAACCGCACCCGGATACGATATGGTTATCTGAAACATAAAATCCGGTCATAAAAAATTGAATTAAAAAAATTTTCCAATTAATGCTTAGGAACGATACCGTTTTGCGCTTTGAATTATTCAAAGTGAATGTAATATTTTCTGGAAATGTTCCCGGAATTAAGCACCATATTCCATCCGTGTCAAGTTCCAGTGGTTTGCCAATATGCTCAATGAGTTTCCTCGCTTCAGTGATGATATTTGCACCGGTATGGCATACAATTCCGGCCATTTCCATTGAAAACCATCGTGACCCTAAATGCGGTCAACAGGAAAGTCTGGAGAAAAGTGCGTAGAACTCATCCTGTACAGTTTCTGATCAAAAATTCAGATACCTTTTCGCATTACATATCCATAAAATGAATTGAGAATGCATTTATATGCAATTTGAAGGCTTTCGTAAAGGACAACACGGCCTTGCGCTGTTTTCAGTCCTTGTAAGTCATCCTCTGGCACTTGTTGTAAGGCGTCTTTTGCTTTCTGGAACATCACAAAAACAACGGTTACAAAAAGGCCTAGAATTCATAAATCAGAAAATTTCCATATTAAAATTAGCACCAATGACTACTCTAAAAAAAAGCGCCGAAAAATGTGTACGTCAAAAAAGATTTAATAAAAATTTACGGAAAACGAAGTTTTTCTGCTCGAAATTTTAAATTTCAAGTGCCACTTTTTCGTCGAAAATTTAAAAAACACAACACTGTACTTGCTTTAAGCAATGCTTTGTATTCGTATCGCCGATCTCGAAATGCTTTCACCGTATCCACATAAAATGCATTTTCGCGCTCACAAATCGTCGTATAACGAAATTCATTTTTTGTGACATGCGTTTTGCCATATGTTCGTTTGCAAAAATCTGCGGATTCATTTGATGTATGAAAAAAAATAAACAATACCAAGAACACTCAGACAACTGACATGGGAATCCCCCATATTAGAAATGTTGTTGGAATGCCCCTACACGATGGCGGCCGGTATGCTAGGTCCTTTCGAACCGGAACTGCCCTCCTTTCCCCCCTCCCTCCTCCCCCCCTCCCCGTACTCTTTTCAACTCTTTCCTCCAAATACCTATAGACTGTTTAATACTTGCGTCTTCTTTTTTAAAAATTTTTACAGCTCAAATCCGAACTAAACAAAAAT